TCTGTAAGCGTGAAGCTATCTATTGGAAGTGATCACAAAATAATATGGTGATTAAATTCAAATGTTTATTGGAGAAAATGTTTATTGAAGTTTTGTGAAATTCATTATGAAAGAAGGTTGCTATGCAAAATATTATTAAACTTCGGAAGGCATGTTTTCACTGAGATATTTGAATTTCAATGGCAAATGAATTCTTGTAGCATTAGCAAAAATAATAATAAAATAATAAATCTTACAATACAAGCCTAAAATATTTGGTACCAACTATAATAGACGTTTTTGCACTTCTAAAATATGGATAATTACGAATCTTCGCAGAATTTTAAAAACGTAAACTAAGACAGATCATTAAATAACTACATTGCAGAAATGGAAAAAAGTTATTTTTATATCATCATTAAATAACTAAATTGCAGAAATGGAAAAAAGTTATTTTTAATAAATTGCATCCATACCTTATAATGTAGTAAGCAAAAGAAAGAGAAAAGTTTATGGAAAACTATTTCCAAGTACTGCTTTTCAGATTTTTTCCAGTTAAAATGGGACGGTATACGTTTCCTGTTTAACTGCGATATTGAATCTGTGTTAATTAATACGCAGCATTTAATTTTTAAAGCTTTATTTATTGGATTAAAATTATTCACAATTCCATTTTTCAGGAAGTTTTTAAAACATCAACTCATCCAGATCCAATGAATAAGAAAAATATGTTTCCTTAGGTTTTGCTTAACTAAAATTCTGTGTTAATTATTTGACTTTTTTTTATGCGATCGGACTTTTAAGTGGTTAGCAGAATTTACGAAACACTTAATTTCAATAAATTTGGGCATTCACAAATGAACAAAATAATATATATTGTAAACATGTCAGCTCTTTCAAAATGTCAATCAATTTTTAAAAAAATACTTAAATATTGCAATTTTAAAAAACATATTAAAAAAGCATATTCCTTCTCGTTTTCTGCTCTAGTTTAATGAACTCACCTTTGGAATTTAAAAAGCAAAATCTTGTACGTTGACATGTTGAACCTACTATACTATTAAAATCTGTGCAAGTCTGTCTGTTTGTTTCTGGCATCATCTCCTTCGGAACGGCGGGGCTTGAGTTTTCCAAAAATGGTTTCCAAAAATTCGTAGGAAGCTATTTTCACCATTTTAATCTTCTTACGTATTCAATCAGCCGAAAAATTAATTAAAAACTCTAAAAACACTAATTTCGCACTCATTTTTCTGAGTGGCAACAATCTCTTGGGCTGGAAATAAAAATCTGCTTTATTTCGAAAAGTGTTGCCACTGCTCGCTTTCAAATCGCAGAGTTTATTAATAAAAAATTTGTAAGTTTTACAAAATAGGAACTAAATATAACGTTGCCAAACATTAAATGCATTATTATATAAGGTATATTCTGACGTTGAAGGGAGCACGCGACTGCATGTAATTGCATTGTGACATCATTTATGTTTCGAAAAATGTCAACTTTTCTAATGTCAGCATATTTAAATAAACAGCTGCTGTTGGGAACTATTTTTGTTTCAGGTTAGGATAACTGACATGATATGTTACCGCCACGTTAATTATTATGGCTATATTGAGGAAAAAGTGTTATATTACATTAAATTTAAATCATGACGTCATACGTATTAACCTGAAGTGTCAATCGTTTTGTTTCCTGGTTTGGCAACAAAAAATTATTTACGAATTGGATGTTGCTTGAAAAGAATTAACTGATTTCCTTCATACTTAAATGTTTTTATACATTTTCTTTTCAGATATACATAAGGATATATAAGTTTTGCTTTGGCTGCAGCCCGCTCATCTGGTGGGCTTACCTGCTAGTCTTATATTATATGAACATACTGAGCAGTCAAAATATTAGACTTCATAAGCACTTCATAGCATTTACGTGTTTGTAGATCCATGTAAATACCAGCAAACTGTTATTTAATACTACTTTTAGAAAGTGTTAATACTACCTGTTCTAAATATAGAGATAGCATAATGCATATTTATATTTTGCTCTCAGCATTAATATGAGCTGGAACATTTAATTATTAAAAGGTATATGTTTAGCGTAAGATTTACATTTTAACTATAATGAGTGTGAATTTAATTAACCAATATAAAATTATTTATTATTCTGTTAATACTGACAAAATTAACAGAGTTAGTGCATATTAATATAACCATATTATGTATTTGATGGTAATAAATTCAACGAACGCATACATAACAGCTGTAATAGAAAACATTTTATTATAGTGGAAAGAAAATTAAAGTTTCAGATATATATGTTTACAGTTATACATAAAATATTTATACCATTATAACTAAACAAGAATATTAGAATGCTTTCAAAACAGGACGTGTCTCATGTGTATCATTACAACGTCCGTTCTGTTTTACCGGAACTCATCTTAATTTTATTGTCTTCTAAATTTTCACCGCGTTAGACTTCTCTTCTTCGTATGTTTCATGTTTAAACACTATTTACTTCAGCTTCTAAGTAACAGTCATGTCCTGTCCGGGGAAATATATTTTTGCCTAATCTCCCATTTCGACATAACAATAGCTTCCTTCAGATTTGCTTAACTTTCTCTTTTCCCCGAAGAGGTACTTAAGTAACGACTCAAAGTACCATGTCATTACTTCCTAATGAAGAGTTTATTTTGGGAATAGGGATATCGTATTTCGATTTCCCTGTAGTATTATTATTGCATATGTCATATCGATTTGTTCTGAAACATTTTTCATAAGTTACAAAGCATAAAGTATAGTCTAATGTTGTAAATCACCTGCGTATTTCATTTTATGTCCTTTATACAATCTCAATAAGTATATAGCTGTCTCATTTGTAATAATCAATCCAAAGGTTGAGTTTATAATGGGGAGAGTGTGTGTGGGACATGAAATTCCCTTTCCGTGCAGAACTTGCAAAATCCAAATTTGCAGTATTATATTAGTAATTTATATGCATATTTATATTTAAGGAATCTGAATAAGACCTAATTCAGTGTCCGTATTCGTAGCATTTTGGGTTAACTACGTGCCACCATAATTTCATGTGACTATGAATTCCATTATTTACTGAAGTCAATATCATGCACCACAATGATAAGAAAACATGATTTCAGGGCAGTAATGTAGTTTATTACGGAGATAATGTATTATATTAATATTTAATTTATTTTATTTTAACATTTTTAAAGCAATTTAACCAAAACTATTACTTACTGCTTGGTATTTGTTGTATTTTTAAACTCAGGACATAGCACCAGAACTGAAATCTGAGAATTTTGCTGTGCAAAACTGTGACGCATTGCAACTAATCCTACATATGTAATCTTCGAAATCTCCTTATTCCATAAAATTGTCATATTTTTATCTGAGAAGTTTTAAAGACTTCAGTGTAGTTCCACGGCCTGCAAGCAGTGTTTTGTCTCAATAAACATATTATTTTAAAAAACTAATATTGGAATATAGTGACTTGCCTGCATTCTTTACATCAGAAATATTCTGGATACGTACATTCAAACTATAAAACAATCTGATGAGAACACTATATGACTACCTAGTACGCCTGCTAAATTTACGCGTTCTTTGCTGCACTTCATTTAAGCTTCTTTTCTCGAATTATTTTAATTTAATTAACCGATCCCTGACGGCAAGTTGAAAATGACATAAAAAATACAGATTTTGAAATTAAATATTCCGATCAAATTTTGTCGCACGGGAGTCAAACTTTTTATTTTTTCATAACGAATATAAGACCTTATATACATTTTAAAACATATTAAATATTCTAAAATATTCCTATTTAAAAATAGTCTATTTTAAAACATACCTTAATATCTAAAGTCCATATTCTAAAATATAAATATAGGAATCGGGAGACAGCGTTAAACTTTGGATTCCGTTATTTGTTGAAAATGCATTATTTTTTAAAATTTCACATTACCAAATCATCAATATCTTCGTTATTTAGCCCCTTCCTTCTCGCTTCCGTTAAAAATTACGGGATCAGGTTTCGCCCTCTAGTTCTCGTGAATGTGAATTTTCCAAGCCGGAAATTCCAAAACAAACACCCAAAAAGATTAATAACAATCTATTTCTTCACCTTGATTGCTGGGTTTGCTGTAAAGTTAATTTTTTTTTAATTATTTTTTTTATTTCAAGCTAAAAACAATTCCAAAATAAATTATGAATGCATATATTATTCATAAACTTATTTTTAAACGATTTCCTTAAATAAAAGATAGGCACTTTTTTTAATGTTTCCTTGAAAATTACGCTATCGTTAATTGGTTAACACCTCTGTATTCGGAAGTATATAACTACGACCAGCGATTGCGAAAATACACAGCGGATAAGTACTTTTAATCTGGGCAAGGAGCATGGGTGTATATACACATATATACTTTTGGCAATGCCAATTGCAATGAGAAAGAGAAGTCACCTTCTAGTTGAAATTTTGTGTATGTCACTCACATACACAAAATTTCAACGTTGTACGGCTAATCGTTTTTGAGTTATTCGAAAACGAATATATACCTATGTACGTACAAACGTCACGAAAAATTCCATATTGAATCCCTTTTGCAATGGAAAAAAGAGTCTTATTTTGTTCCGTATGTACAGAGGTCACGCAAAAATTGTCGAAATGGATTCGATAACTGTCAAAATAGATATTTCCGTCGAAATCTGATAACCGAAATTTTTCCCGATTACATTACGTCCTTTACTTCGAAAGAAGCGAAAATAAAGAAAGATGTGGTCAAGAGATCTTATGCTTCTTTCTTTTCTCTATCATCATCATTCTTTTATCGAATATATATTAAAAAGGTTGAATAAGAGTACAACAGCCTCGAATAAAAATCCTCTCAAAATACAAAGAAAATTTGATGTGTAGGCTAGTATATAGAAAATGAATTAGAAGTCCACATTTAAATAAATATTCACCTAAAAACTACTGAGATCAATTATAATAGAAATATTTGCTTTTACCTTCCAGGATACTTTCATAGATTGGGCGCCTGTAGAATGAACTTGAACCTCTCGTGGAGAGCCAGACGGCGCTGAAAAGAGAATGTTAATGAGTGAATATTGGGGATTTTTGGCAAAAACACTTTTTTGTATGGATCACGTTCGAAATGGTTGCCACCAAATGTTATCGCAATGTATTACAAAAAATAATAATAATAATAATTAAAAATCTGAAAGCTTTCAGACTTTTATTAGACTTTTTTTCACGAAGGATTCCAAACGTGATTTCAAAAGTGATACAGACATTCAAAGTCATTCGACGTAAAATACTGTTAGACACTGTAACGTCTTTGCGTTGCTACGCTACCAACATAATACCATTAAGAAATGTAAAGAAACCTCGCGCGTAAAATATCCGTGCTTGGAAAGATGCACGCTACCTAATGGAACGCTTTGAAATCGTTGAATTTGTTAATCAAAAAGTCGTTAAAATTTTAGAAAGCAAGAAATAGAGAATAAAACAAACTCCAAATTTAGGCTTCCAGGTGCCCATATTCGAGCGGAGGACTACTTTATTCAAAATTTGATGTTTCTAGGTACTGTTGTTTATTTACAATCCGAGAAACATACATACATACCTGCAGATTCTTCATTATTTAATTTCTTTAAACATAATGCAGGGCTGTAATATTCGCTGGCAACAATTTGAAAAGTGATTTATACTTTTATAGTGAATCAACCCAAAATGCCAAAACAAAAGTAATAGCCCTTCTGGGCTAATAAAGTACATATGTATGTTCCTTGCATTGAGAAAAAGCTTCGGCTAATAAAGGCACAGAATTTTTAATACACATAGTCCTCCACCGAATTTCAACACCAAGAAGACCAAATTTTGAATTTCGATATTTTTAAAAATTATTTCAGGTTTTGTACAAATTTTTTTAAAGAATCTCAGCAATTTAAAAGCGAAAAGTGGGAGCACAGTTCGAAATAAAGCTTTTTTATCTCCAGGGCGCCGGACTGTTGCCATCAGACGAAATGTAAGATATTGCGTCGAATATGTATTATTTCTACGCATCAGTGTGTTGCCATTCAGTAAAACGGAAGATATCTAACTTTCAAATTTAATCTATCTATTAATAAGTAGAAAACCAAGTAATTAAAAAGCAGTAAACGCTGTTCCTAAAAACGTGTTTTCTACTTTTTAATCTGATTGATTTAAATAAAAACTAGAAACATTAAATATTTTTATTAAATGAAACTAGCTAAACTCATTAAATCATAATATATTTTTTTTATTTTTTTACTTTTCATGTTAACTCTTTTAGGCCGCTGACCGGTCCGCTTTCAACGAAATAATATTGCGAATATAAAAGAAAAATGTATGACAACCCGTAACACATTATCGGGAATTCTAAAGATATGCTTTTTTAAATACTCAAGATGCACAGCTCATACAGAACAAATGATACACACCTATTCTGATCTTGAATTTTTTGTCGTGTGAAAAATTTGGATGCTTAGCAATAGAGCTAAAAAGGCAAAAACATTGTGGTAGCAAGAATGAGTCTAAAAGCAGATTGGTAACCTACGATGCTGAGCGAAAGCTTGTAAAAGCGTTAAGCAATCCTATGCGCGAAGTTAAAATCTGAATCCGTTCAGACTTTCTTTTCTTTTTTAAATGAATATTCTCATTCTTAACTCCCTCTTTATTTTCTGAGATATTGCTGTGTTTTTGTTTTTCTCTTTTTTAATGCAAAAATCCGAAATCATAAGCCTTTAAATAGCAGTTACCAATAGCTTTACACAGATTACTGTTAAAAATATATACTTATCCATTGCTAAAATTGCATAAGCAATTTTTTTAAATACCTTCGTAGTTATATACGAGTATCATTCGCATTTACGCAATGGTTGTATGTCAAAAATATCTCGTTTCTTGAGACACCATTTAATATAACAAACAATACCTATCCCTTTTAAAACATTACATGCGACAGGAAAATGGGAGAGTGAATACAAGTATGTGAAACTATCTCTAATGTAATTGTAGCCCTTAAAACCTCTCTTGTAACCACAACAAAGATTTCTATCTTTTTGCTGCTCCCAAATCTTCTTAAGCACATTTATTTAAACGTTTACAGTTATTCTTATTTTGATCGAACGTATCCACTAACTTTTTCTTGTGCTTTAGCAATGAAACAGCTAAATTTTTTGGAGATTTTGGAACTTTTTATGGCATCCTCTAACTCCAATAAAATCCTCACTTTTTAGTCTCCTGATAAATGTTTACATTTCGACATCGCAAGCTAAAATTTGCTGAGCCTACTATGCGAATGTAGATCAAAGAAAATAGAATGATCACAACGCAACGGTCCTACCCTCCCACTCCTACAGAGAGTAAACTTCCGTCCAATCAGCACCCTCCGTCGTGTCTGTTCGTCTCCTCAAGGTCGTTGTGTGTTGTTCTCGTACGTGCATACCAGAAGATCACGGCACGGTGCACAAGATAGAGATAGAAGGCCGCCATCATGTGTTCACACGATTTATGATTTATCACTAACTTTCGATTGACTTCGGGCTGTTAAAAGAATTTTTCCTAGTGGACAGGTGGAAGTCCACAGAAATTTTATGAGTCACAAAAATATTGTTCGCCACAACCAGGGTTTCCTCAATAAAAGAGAATTATGCTTTCGTAGACTTAATATCTTAACAACCAAGTATTTCTGATTTCCTCATTAAACCAGGGTTCGTTATAAGTGAGTTCTACTGCATCAATATTCAGATTTTCTCCAGATTTTTACAAATTTATTTGTTATAGATGTGCCTTTGACTGTTTTTGCACATTTATTTTTGGTAATTGTAAATTAATGCAATCCTTCACAATTTTTTTTTAATTTTTTCTTTACTGCTTATTTTTCTGTACTGTATTTCATTGTGATTCATACGTACTTCCGTAAAAATAATAATAGTAATAATAATAATGTAGTTACGCACTCCGACAAGTTTCTATTAGATCACGATTCATAATGGAATATGATCGCCATCTGCCTCAAATAATATCAAGTGATAAGTTCAAATAATAGTAAATGATAAGAATTCTCAGTCAGACGATAGACAGCCGCAATATTTTCTTTAAAAATGTAATTACATAAATTGCATTTATTTATTTCAGTGATTCATGTCATTACATTTTTTTTTTCTTTTTTTCCCCAGAATAAACTACAGCATAGATTAATAATATAAAATATATTTCAAAATAATTAATACCTTTATCATTTTTTTCGTTTCGAAGGTAAAAAAAAAATATAAACAATATTTATACTATTTTGACGAAAATGTCCATTAAATATTTCTGTAACACACCAGTCTTGTAATAAAATTGAAAGACAGTTTTGAATGCATTATGCTCTACATTTCAAACTAAACCCGACATTATCTGAAAATTGTTAGGAATGCGTTTCAGAGGTTTGACTTCCACTGTCTTCACAAGTTATTCTTACACATAACAAATAACTTTAGAAAAACGAATGCATAGATACGTAGAATACATCCTTAGCGAACAAGTAGCTGAAAATTTAATCTATATACTATAGATCTTTGGCCCATTAAGATATAACTTAAATAAGGAGACAGGTCTTCAAAGTAGATGGAAGGATTTGCGCATATCTAAACTGTTTGGTTATGAAATAACCACGTTGTACAGCAATATGTCATGTGTTTTTCAAATCAAACCAAAGATACATTGGGAAAACATCCTGCCGTTGTTACCCTTATCGCCTTTAAAGACTGTCACTTAGGACCACTGTCTCTGAAAAAACATTCCCGATGATTAGGAAGAATATTAAAGCAAACATCATTTTGTAAAGCCAGATTGTGCACCTATTACCTTCCACAGTGTGCAGTATATAATCTTATACATGATTTGATGAATAAATGGTCTTGTACAATTATTTACTTTTGTATCAAATTTTATATTCCTTTATTTCATAAATTTCTGAAACTAAAAGCTAATGTGTCATTCTTGCATTTCCGGCCAAAAATGCATGTAAAATGTATTTATACGTGTGTATTTTAGATAAAAAAATGACTAAGACAAGGTACTAATTTTAATTTGCAATAACCCCATCAGTTTCCTTTAGTTTTCAAAAGTTTCTATTTCTGTCCTAAAATCTGTAACATGCTTATCTCTCCAAAAAGCGTAATTTCAAAATTATTCCTTCTCACTTTATTCGCGCATTATGCTTAAGACGCAGGTACTTACATAACACTTCAGCCAATAATATTACTAACATTTTCAAGCCAAAATCTTTAGCAGCTTGTCAGAATGATGACAAAGCAAAAATTATTTACCGTATTTTCTCGAAATTAAAACCCAAAGTTTCTTGCTTTAATTTTGCTCTAAAACTTGATGGGCTCTTTTATAGCCATATATTTTAATAAACAAAATTGCACAATGAGAAGGAAGATCTTATTTCTTAAAATTTATTCTAAAATGTAATAGGGGAATTATTTTCTATTAAACACGGTACTCTGAAGAAAGTTTTCATATCAGGAATTTCGCATACCTGCTCCCTCTGGTTGTCCTGCCAATATGTTTGTGTTTAACTTTCTGTCTACAATTATTGTCCTAATGATGTTAGGAAAAAAAAAAAAAAAAAAAAAAAAACGTAAATATAATTGTTAAGAGCAGTCGCATGTTTTGCACCAATTTGGTTGTATAGTATGTTTGAGTTAACCAGCACAAGAAAAAGACAAGAATAATATGACACGACAAGATTAATTTGACAAGAATAATATGTGTTCAGCCGGTATTGCTTTCTGTTACGTATTCATATGTATGTATATATAAGAGAAGGAAACATTTCAAATGTTAACCGATCTCTGTTATTCCACATAAATTAAATTAGATTCTACAATGAACTTTGTGAATTCTCGCACAGGCGTGAATAAATTACCAGCACAGAAGAAAAGGGTGAAAAATAATCTTTTATTAATTCAAACTAATTTAACAGAAAGGCACGGACTTCGTGCGTTACAAAAACACCGTCCACTTGCGGTGGGAATTAAAACGTAGAATATAATACAAGTCAAACCTGAAATAAATAGTGAAAGAACGCACTTAAATTTACGCCTAAGAGGTGGACTCATAGAAATCTAACCGGCGTGATACTAATCTGATATGGTCAAGAGGCTTACTAGCGTGACCGCGAAATGACAATGAAACGTGCGCTTAGCTAGTGAAACACGCTCTGAAAAAAACTGAGATATTCACACGTTTAAATAGCAATTCACTTTAAATTTACATTCTGGCGAGAGAATGTGAGGGGAAGTTGAGAACAGGAAACCAAACTTAAAATAAATTTGTTATGCAAAACAAGGAAAACCCTACGGCTTATGGAGATGAGAAACTTTATCTCATACACGTGTGTTTGAATGGCATAAGCGGTCTTCCGAAGAAAGGGTCAGTGTGGAAGATGATGAACGTGCTTGGCGCGGACGTTCATCATGATTAAATGGGTTCCCAATGGTCAGACTGTTAATCAGTACTACTATATAGAAGTGCTAAACTGACTATGTGAAAAAACTAGGGGAAAAAAGGCCACAGTTGTGGAATGATGGATGGCTGTTGTACCAGTTCAATGCACCCGTTCACACGGCCCTATGTGTGTCAAACAGTTTCTGACCAGCAAAAACATTACTGTGATGGGGCATCCTACTTATCCGCCTGATTTGGCTCCATGCGACTTTTTTTATTTCCTAAAGTTAAATCTTACTTAAAGGAAGCCATTTTACCTCAACTGAAGAGGTTCAGGCAAAAACGAAGAATCTCCTGAAGGGCTTCGAAAAACCTCGTTCCAGAATTGTTACCAACAATGGCAGCAATGAATGCAGAAGTGTGTGAATCCTCAAGGGAACTATTTTGAAGGTGATAATGTCACGGAAAACTGATTCTGTAAGTACAATGATTTATTGGACCAGTCTCTTTTTTTTGTCACACCTTGTATACATATATAAGATTGAAATGAAAAGGACAGTTAAAATTAGCTAAAGCTTTAAAGTACATTTCATGCAGCTAATCATAAAGTTTACAAGTAATACCAAGTAAAAATAATTACACTAAATGAAAGCAGTAAAATTTTACGTGAAAAACCTACTGGAAACATTACAAAATTTAAAAAAAAAAAAAAAATACAACAAATTCAAAATTGGTACTTTAAAAATACTAAAAAAAAATTAAAAACGTATACAATAAAATCAAATTTGGTCCTCTTGAAAAACCCTAAACATTTTAAAAATAGAGGAATTATATACAAAAAATAGAAATAACTTGGCAATTCGAGGTTTCAGACAGATCTTATTAAAAGTGCCTGAAATCTCCAATTAAGCTAATGACATAGGCATGACATAGACACGTTTCGTCGAACTAAACCATTGAGACTGAAAACGTTAATCCATTTATAAAATAATTAAATTAATTAATCATACATACATACATACGGATATATATATATATATATATGCGTATACATTCACACAAATATAAATATAGGAAGTTAAGTAAATATTCAATAAATAAATCAATAAATTTGCAAATATATAATAAACATATATGCAAATTCAAGTTTCCTAAGCAAGCAGAAAATGAAATAAACTAATTTAGAACTGTTGTTCTTTCTAATCCCTTTTGGCAGTGCAATACTTTACCAGTCCTTCAGTTCTTTACCTCAGAAAATCAGAAAAAAAGAGAGTGTCAGCAAGGAATTCGTCGTTCGTTTGCAAAGTATAGCATTTAATAACACGTGAGAAACGTTGTAAGTTGTGATCGGATATGAGACCCATATCTTGGTACAGCTAGAGAGTGCAGTTTGATGGATTTATGACCTTTAAATGTACAGCAAATCTAGGCCATCTCTTACTTGATCAGTGATGGGTAAGTAGCGTAACCCTGATGTTCCGTAATATAAATTTGCGAATCAAACCATTTCTGAAAAATTGAGAACCAAACAAAGCGTAGGGGATAAGTAGCATTCTGTGTCAAGAAGAAAACAAGAATAAATCGCGGTGTTATGAAAATTTTAAGAGCAACCGCGCATGAGCTAAAAACCTGACTGTAAGCGCAAGATGTTTCAAATATTTTTGGATTTGTGATAGCACCCCCTCTAAAAAGCGAATTGTCAAAGCTTCTAATGAATTGGAGAATTATAATACTCAAAATTATTACCTCGCAGGTTTTATATCGTTTTTGCCTGGGATAGGCCAACGTTCTCCTTTGGGAAATAAGGGATCTTCACACAATACGTCTTACTTTTATCGAATACAGTGCTTCCAAGACTTGCAAATTAATAATGTGCAAGTTTGTACAAATGCATTTGCTTCATTCCAGGCAGTCATAAAAAATCGGGTTAAAAAATAACGGAAGCTTTAGCCGCTGACGGAAAAGCCTCGCTAGACCTAAAGGAAAACATACAAAACAGAAACACGCAATTCCTGAGGAAACTGTTTCTAAAATATTCGAATTTATCAACTCCCTTAGAAGAAAAAAGTCTCATTAATTTCTTAAAGAAAAGTAAGAATATATGCCTGCAGGAAGTGCTAAGCCTTACAGAATTATAGAACATGTACAAAGTGAACAATGCAGTGCTGTATGATAAATTAAAAGTTAATTAAGATGGATGACAAGTTAACTCAGATTAATTTTAAGTCTAACATCGAATTCGATTACATAACACTGGTAGGCTTTGTGGTTCATTAAAAGCAGAAACTGATATGCTTACCAAAAAATCGGAAAATCTTGCTCAAAATAAAAAATATCAGAAACTGATTCAAGACAGAAAATTAAAGTTACAGAAAAAAAATGTTTCTTTTAAGGAAGACCCAATGATGATAACGACAAATATTTCTGTTTCCAAGACTAACAGAAAAACTAGCGAACAAGAATTTTAGTCAACTATAAAAATGCTAAAAATCCGTTTCTCTCCGATTTTGTAAAATTTTTTTTTGGTTTGTAATACAGATTTCTTTAAATAAAAGTTGAAAATTTATAGCGAGTTTTTATTTGATTTTCTAACAATATTTTCTTTATCATTGAAGTTATACAATTCAAGAATGTATTTGCTTCAAAATTCCTCTCAATGGGCATAAATGGTTTTCGCCCTTGTGTCTTCATATGTACTCAGAGAGAAAGATAAATAATAAATTTATACAGGAAAACAGGTAAATATTTTAATAAATTAGATAATTCTTTTATCTTATCATAATGCCAATAAAATAATCAGTCAAATAAATACAAAAAGCCCAAGCTCGAAGTAAAGAAAATGAAATAGGTATAGTACCTTCTTCTTCAGTTGTAACGTTAATCACTTGACTTGGCGCACTTTGCCCAATAGCATTTTCTGCAATAACTCTAACAAAATATAATGTCACAGGCGTCAAAGCCCGAAGAGTAGCACTATTCTCTGCGCCCGATACTATAAGCTGAGAAGTTTGTCCATTCCAGCTGTTATCTGAAACATTATTTGTTTGATCAGGAAACTTATTTAATCATTAATTATATACAGATTTAACGGAAATTTTGCTGAATTCATATCTGAAAGTGCAAACTGAAGTTATATCGTTAAAATGTTTAATTATTTGCAACTCATTTATGTGTTCATTTGAGAAAACAGTATCATATCTTTCCTCCAGACAAATTTAATCCTTTAATAATTAATATTAAAGCCCCAGATTCCAGATGAGTCTCTTGTAATTATAGTTTCATAAGAGATGACATGTTTACAAGTATAATTGCGAGTAACTGCACTTAATATTCTCAAATGTATAATTACTATACTTTAAAAATTTTCATTTCCTGTCCTGACATTTTCAGATTTTTAGAGTAGAATATTTTTCTCAGAATTTCTTATTATGGAAGCAGCTTCAGCGTACTTAGGTAGATTATTCTTGTTTTGATAAGACCACTGTATCAGCCTAAAGGGAAAGATTTATATTTGCATTACGATTTAAAAGTTCAAGGAGTTTTTTTAAGAAAAAGGAATATTTTATTAGCGGTTAAAAGTATTTTGAACGTCTGTTTCGTTACCATAAAATACATTAAAAAAAACTTAAAATATTTAAAAAATTAAAAAAAAACTTACTAGCTTTAAAATTAGCTTATAATGTGCTGCCACCAAAAATGTCAATAAATACCTATAATTTGTATTACAGCTACCTAATTAATCACGAAGAATCGAACATTTTATCTTATAAAATTTTACAATAAAAACCTATTATTATAATAAGCTGCAGTTTTACATGCAATTTTAGTGAACATGTAAACATGTATACGTCAGGGATATCATTACAAGGCTTAAGAGTAAACTAATTCGACAAGAAATGTCATTTATTTATTAACAGAAAATCAGTTCCCTAGATAACTGGGATTTCACGTTAACACGATTACTACTTTAACTTTTCTTGCATTCAACAATCAAAACATCGATTTGGTTGCTCTTGTTATTTTCATCATTTAGTTATTATTTAATAGTTTTTCTAGACATCATTGAAATTCTTCATTCAGAAATTCATCACCAATTTCATCATATTAAAATGCAATAGCTTCATATTTCAAATATGTTTAAAGTACTATATATATATATATTCATGTTTTTAAACTAGCTATCAGTTTTTCAGTCGAACATTTAGTTTAAATTCACTGAATTATTTAACTTCCTTAAATTTTGAAGCAATCGGATCTTAAGCTATTAAAATAAATTCCTATCATTTCTAATAAGATACTTTAGAAGACATTAATATCTACAGTTAATCTAAAAAATATTGAAACGTTTCTTCTTCCCATGTTATCTTAACACATATTTTGTGTTGCTTGGTTGATAACTTTGAAATAATTTTCTCTAACTCATAATAGTTAATGTTTAAAAGAGATTAACGATCAGCTTACGATTATTTATTTGCAATACTGACAGAGCGAAAGTGTTGCAAATAAAAGCACATAACAACTGCGCACACAATATGGTAGTCATAGATATATATGTATATTTCGTGTCAGATGTGAAATGTTTAGAAATAGAGATATTTACCTGATATCGTTTGATACTGCACAATACTACCAGTAATATGGCTATTGCCATTATGTGCCACTTCCCATAATAAGCTCACTGATCTACTCGTCGTATTCAAAACAGTAATGTTTGTCGGAGAATCGGGAAGACCTGGAAATTATAGGAAATTATGAAACACCAAAACATTAAACTGTATATTATAAACCGAATATTTTAATACTTAATTTAATTAAAAATGCATGTTCACTTAATAGCATATCATTAAGAATTACTTTTTAAGCATAAGTGAATTTTCGCAAAGAGCGAATTATTACTCGGACTAATAAATTTACACAGATTAAAATTCAAAACCTTTATTTTTCCACTCCTGTTGAATTACAATTAAGCAAAATTTAAAAAAATAAACGATCGGTTTCTTATTGAAATAACTAGTAACAATTAGGCGGTTTGCTTGGAATGCCTAGCCATTCTAATTGAAACAACAGAAACAGCGAATCTGGCTACAGAGATTGAATTTTTTTGGTAGCATAAATTAGTATCAAACTCCTAACAGACTTGGAGCGAATTATCGCTGCGTCTGAAGTTAACGACAGAAGCTTGAGAAAGTTAAAATAATCTCTTTATCAAATCAGAACTTGAGCATAAAATACACGACTCGTGCTGACCGCAACAATCACCACTTTTAGCGACGTAATTTTAAGTAAAAATCAAATTCAATTAATTAAGACATAATAACACGCCGAATAAATACTAATTCAGAAGTCAAACAACAAAAATCAGCGTCATATTTTCAAAATTTTCACAGGACTAGTTTCGATGGTTTTACCGAACCACCATACTCAGCTGCAAAATCGCAAATTCAATTGTTAAACCAAGCTTAGCAGTCAAAGACTACAGAACTGATTTTAACTGTAAGTTGGCTCAGAAATTCTCACCGGCATAACAATTTAAATGTCGACAGCAATAACGCAAAGGCGAAGAATCACAAACTTCTCAGAGCTGGCGAAACCAAGTAACGTAGCCTCGACAGGCAGAAACACGCTTTGTCTTACAATCCGAATACTTCAGGTTAAATACTCTCTAAATGATTTACATTTCTGGCGATGAAATGGAAAAGTCAGAGCTGTAGGTCTAAATCGTAAATAACCGGTTAATGCAGAGAGAGAGTAATGGTAACCGTACATGATTTTATCCTTACCTATAGAAGGGCCGCTTACTAACTTCGAGTAGCAAAGGCGACTCTTCACTGAACAGACATAAATTATTATTAACCTTCACTAGCTTTTAACTCCTATCCGTGAGCTTGATTAGCACAGCGTTTTGATTCGAGCGAATGTATGTGCCCCAAATCAAAACATTTAAATTAAGTTCAAATGTTAGTAAAAGTTTTAAAATTTTAATTTCTTCTTCATTGAAGACGACATGTAAGCACCACCCCACAGTTATGTTGCTTTGCTTTACTATGATAATTTATTAGCAGCAGACTGTTCAATAAAGCTGGGAATAAAATACATTTTCTCGCCTCTTGACTCGAATACGATAAGAAAGATAAATAAACCAATAATTATAAATATTCCTTATTTATGCAGTGAACGTGGTATGTGTATATTGAAAAGAATGTTAAATTAAGGCAGTTATTTTACACTTTTGAACTACGTTATTCCTTTTTCTTCAAAACGTTTTCTGTTGATTACAAATATGCCCCTGTATTTGTACAGAAGTTTAATAGCGGCAGTAAATTATTCGATGAACTTCAAAATTAAGTGAAATTTATGAATGTAAATAAAAACGTAGATATTAAACTGCTTTTATTTCTTGCATATCATAATATTAAAAGCAACGGCTGTGATATCTTGTCAGTGTAAAATATGGAACAAAACCCTTTATTAAATCTAAACGCAAGACTTCTACATTTAATGTTTCATAGTCAAGGAAGCACGTCGAAATGCTTTATTGATTCATGATAGTTAGCTTGTATTTTTCATGTCACCAAGGCGCAACTTAGGATATATATCAGAATTCTGTATAACAATTGCTCTAACATAACATAGGTATACTGATGACACAGAATTTTCTTGAAATGACATACTTATTTTTTTCCGTATATCGATTCTGCGACTCAAATTATGCCAAAATGCCAAGTTTCGTAAAGACCGCACGAGTAGTTTTTAACAAATTAACTATCAAAATTTTAGCTTCTCAAAGTTAATTGAATTTGCTATACATTTAATAATATCTCTTTTTTATTAAACTTACTTGATTCCTTCTTTTCTCAGTTCGAAATTTAGGTTCAATCCAAATAAATTTCGCAGATATTTTCTAATTTATTTTTTAAATTCGTATTTTTTAGTAATTTGTATAAATTTTCAAAAACCTTTTTTCAATTATAACATATAAATATTTTATCATCATCTTAAAGCAGATGTATTTCTAGACATGCATGCAAAATTTAGAGTTTTTATTTAAAATTTTCCAAGATATACGTGAATTTATACACTTGCGCGCTTTGAAATTTGGCATATCTGTTTTTAAGGGATAATAACGACAAGTGTGCTTTACGCACTTTATTAAAATTATTTGAAAGAATAAACGATGCACATTTTTGTTCCACTCGGGCACAATGAAAAAAGGAAAAGGAAAATAGGTTAGTAAATTACAAGAATTTTAACAAGTGGAATCATTCTGAAAACTGAAGAAGGTGTGCCAAGATAAATTTTTAAATGCTCGGTATGTTTCTCACCAAATTTAATAATTGGCAATAATTTGACTCGTAAAATCGAAATATGAAAAATAAAATCGAAATATCTTTTCAGAGAAAGTCTGACTTTTGTGTCAGAATACGTATGTTATTACAAAGCTATATATATAAAGCTAATATATATCCTAAGTCACGATTTCGAGGGGAAAAAACAAGTTAAATTTCGTCAATCGGCCCAGTAGAATGCGAGATCTAGAATCTCTTTTTTTTGTGTGTGTGGGGAGTGTACAGTGAATGAAAATAAGATTTACAACTTGTCAGTAACTTGTAGCTTTAAAGCAGCACGAAGTATTATGCTTAATAATACAAATTTTTCAATTTAGTAAAATTTGTTTGCATTTATGTTATGTAATTTTGTTATTATTTACGAAGCTTTGCTGCAGTTTTAATTAATTGACTACATCTCTATAAAATGTTCATAAATAATCATTCTCCAAACATCTAAATCAGCTTTCAATTCAATGGCAAATCTGTTTCTTTTAAATTTCTCGTGAAGAAAAAGAATCAGAAATTTGTTTTTCTTGTGATACATGAAATATGCTAAGGTGTATTATAGGCAAGATTTTCTTTCTTTTTCATCTATGTATACGTTTGTTCTTGTAAATAATTTAAACCATGTAACTAATCTCATTATTGATAGGTAACTATAGAATATCCCAGTATGAAATGGATTAACACGTTTTCGCAGAAATATTTCTTCTCTTCCTAAAATCTTTAAAGAATTTGCTGCTTTAAAACAATTTATATGCGTGAATGTTTATACCTAATATGCTTGCTGCAAATCGTCCAGGATTACGCAATAATAAAGAATAATACTTTCATATTTAAGCTGTATATTTTCAGCAACTACGTATGTTTAGTACATTAAAATGGGTGAACAGTCTCCAGGTAGTAAATCTTTAATTGATGAGACGTGGACATTTTTGTCAAGTGCGTTAATGTATTCATTAGAATGCACAGAATGCCTTCTAGATTACGGAATAAGCTTTAATTTAATATAATGAGCTGCGTTGCTCAGTAATTGTCAGTTATAAAATTATGCTAACAACAGTCACATTCTAATGAACTTATATCCAACAACTATGAAAAATTTTATTTCTCCACCTCCCGGCAAATTCAATATAAATAATTATCACGCATAGCAGTTTTGGACATTAGCAAGGAGCCAGAATTATCAAATTATGTGCGAGGAAAAATTCCTTCTGATGCGTTAAAGAAAAACCTTTTTCCAACATGGTAAAGCAGTAATAAAAATCTAGGTTTTCGAGTATATTTTATAAATGGAATTGAGAATAATAAATACGTTTAATTTGATATTCTTGAAAATGTATCGAGCTAATATAATTTAGCTTGATTGTGTCAATTTAGGCAAGTGTGCCACACTGGAATATGAGAGGTAAATAACAATTTGCAATGTCCTAATATTGCATTTCTTTGGATGTTTGTGGGCAATTGGAATCAGGAATAAATAGTCTTCACACTATTTTCGCTTTTCCTAAGTTTAAGGTATCCTAATACTTTCTAATCGTCAATTTTTGATATATTTTTTTTAAATTCTTTACTACTTTATTTAAAGCTTATATATTAAGATACTCAAACTGGTATTTATAAAGAGAATTATGGCTGTTTTTGAAGTACCCCATGAACCAGAAGTTTCTGTTTAAGAACCGTAAGATGATGTCTTACGGTTCTTAAACGTAGTTACACAGACTACTCTAAATAACTTCTAAATGAGAATGTTTCATTTGAATACTTATAATGATGTACAAAAGATGATTTTAAACCGTTTCTGTTTGTTATTATGTACTGGGGAACAAACTTAACTTTGCAATTTAATTTTCATACTCGACAACCTTTTTTTTTTTTCTTTTTTCTTTTCTTTTCTTTTTTTTTTTTTTTTTTTTTTTTTTTCTGTTTGTGTTTGGATTACATTATTTCTATTTTTCGGAAACTTGATTTTTTCTCAACACTTCTTTTCTAAAAAAGAATTGTTAACTTAAAATATTACTGTAGTAATTTTATGAAACGCGTTTAGCGTGAATTAAATAGACTAAAAGTTTAAGTTTATGTAAATATCTAAATTTTTTTCAGACAATTTTGTAAATGAAAAGAGAGAAATCTTTCGAAAAGTAACTAGGGCATATACTAGTGAAAAACAGGTATATTTAATAGACAATTTATTTTTCACTTAAATTTTAGTCCATTTAATTCCTTATATCTAAATAAATATAACTGACCAAACAAAAACTCAAATATCGATTTTGTGGGAACAAATCTAGTAACCCTGAAATTTAACACGTTTTCGACTCAAAATGTAAGGAAAAAAAAAAAAAAACCTTTGATAATAGGTTTATCATTTGTCATTTTAATTTATTACTATAACATTTTAGGTTGTGCTCTGCTAAATAACACCAAAAATAGATTTATTTGTACTATTTTCCAAAATTTGGGTATCGAACATACTGGGATACCTTAAAAAGGCTTAAGTTTTAAAACCTTATTTTTTTTTGGGGGGGGGGAGAATTCAGTGAAAATAGTTTGTTTTCATGGTGCTGTCTACAAATGATATTGAAGGTAGATTGCCGTACCTTTCCGCTATCTGCTGATAGATGTTAGACCACAATCTCATGTTAGCCACATCTGGACTTGCGTTATGTAAGAAAAAATGGTCAAATTTAGGCAGTTAACAGATTTCTATTTCCCCCCTCGAAATCCATTACATTTACTATGAAAATAGCACAGTTAAGACAAATTACAATAAATTATAGAGGAGCACAAAGGCTACTAACACATTTCGTATTTGAATATTTCGCTAATGATTTAAGTTATCGTTGTTGAAAGGAAACAGAACGTTAGAGAAAGAAGCCTGGATCCAAGACACAGATGTCTTAAATGGGCTCATTTTCCTTATTTTCATGAAGGATAAGAAAGGAGCCCCAAAATCATCATATAGATTTGAAGACAGAATGCTTTTAGCGACAGGTTACCTAGAACTCTATGCCCGTGACTGGGCCTATGCATTACCTACGATTATTTGAAATTAATCAATCAACTCAGCGACACCATGCACTGCAAAATTAGCGTATGAAAAGGTAGAAGTTAATTGCATTTGAAACATTTCGTGTCACATAAATGTGATCTACTAAATTTGCAAACAAATTTTACCGAAATGCGTTATGAAAGCATTCACTTTTTTATTTCTGCATTTTATAAAAAAAAAAAAAAAAAAAAAAAAAAAAATCAGAATCGTATTAAATTTTGACAAAGGTAATTTATTAATGTAAAACTTTCTTTTCATGACTAAAATCTTCAATAGTTATATTAATATAACTTGAAACACGGATAAAATAATATTTAGATTATTCAACATTCTGTATGATATAACTACTTTATGTACGTATTTTAACTTACCTTGTACAATGAACTGAATGGCAGCTTCATCTGCTCCGATATCACTTACAGCAGTGCAAGTAAACTTCCCTGTGTCATTTCGAGTAGCATTTAGGATTTGGAGTTCTGATATAGTCTGATGTTTCTTTGAAATGTTGCGAATGAAGTATCTGCGCATTTTCAAAAATACTATTAGTTAACTCTCCGAAATACTCAAATTAGTTTCCAAGAATTTATCATTGATGAAATTCTTACCTAGAATTTGTTTTTGCTTCTAAAACTGTTTTGTCTTTATTCCACGTAATCGTTATGGGTGCATGGCCTGATGCATCGCATTTCAAAGTTGCATTGAATCCTTCTTTTATTGCTCGGCTTTGATATGCATCCTTAAATCTCGGCGGTACTTAAATAGAAATAAATCATAACATGCATTTATAAAATATTTTATTTAATATTATTAATTAACAGGCATAATTAACAGGCATATAAATTATTAATTAACAGGCATATAAACATTAATTTATGCAATACTCACAATGTTTTCGAAAATGAAAATTAAAGTTATTGACATACATATCGACCTTTAAAGAATTTGTAGGAATTGAATATTAAAATAATAATCTAGATGTGAATTATATATCTGAAACGTTAATTTAGTGGAACATTAATTAAGGCAAATTATTCAAAGGCTAGCTACGGAAGATGTGCGATAAACTCTTGGTAGCTTTCTTAAGATAAACTCTTTCGCAATTTATCTTATACAAAAGTCATCGAAGCATCATGTAGGTCACCAGGTAACAGTGCTCTTTAATCAATATCTAATGACTATATTCAGTCAATACCTTATAAGGTATTTCTCTCGCCTTCTTATCATGCCTTCGTGGTGATCTGCACGCTGGGAGCATATTCCAGAAGTCTGCGGATCGATTCCCGGCGAAGGCGGTTGCCCATTTTTCATCTTTCCTGCTTCCCCCCCCCGGAAAGAAACTTTAATGTCTCTACAGTGGCGCCCGAAGTAAAAGGGTTGTGGATGATGATTCTCCTCACTCAGGATTAGGCGATTGGGTCTCCTAAAATAACCCCAGTCACCCTTTAAAAGGGGAGTATATAAAGTATTTCTCCCGCCTTCTTGGCATGCCTCTGTGGTGTGGTGGTCTTCACGATTGCCGGCGAGGGCAGTTGCTCATTTTTCATCTTTCCTGCTTCCAAATTACCTAATGTCTCTACAAGCTAATGGCTTTCAATCCTGAATATTTCATAATTATATAACTGCTCATTCAAGATATTATTCATTCATAACTTACGAATGTCCGTGATGTATGATTTAGACCTTGTCAGTACAAACAACTTGCTTAGCAATTCTAATTTTATTCTATATGATTCATACAAAAGATATCTTTTAAGTCACTTTGCACTGGATGACCTTTCTAATGAATTCTAAATATTTTCCAATATCATGAGATTCTTGAAAGCTCCCAAATATTTCATATATGAATAACAAGAAAAAAAGGCAGAGAAAGATACTTATTCAATTTTTAATTATAGAAAAATTTGTTCACTACGTTTGATGAAGAACAAATTAAAAAATATATTGGAATATAACAAATTAAATTTTGAAAAGGGCATGTCCAATAACAAATTTTATAAATATAATTTGTCAAAAATGTGTTTGTAGAACGGTTCGCTGTTTGCTTAACAAATTCTAAATTTTCCGGAATCTCAGCAAATACACAAGTCAAATTGTTATTTCAAGAGTTACTGCAAATCCACGCTAAGCATGTAACGCTAAAGACTTTTCCAAACATTAAGAGTATGCTATCTATTAGCTCATACTGAAGATCCAAATACACCGAAATTATTAAATATTGAGTTAACTTTTTAATGAACTCTTTCATTGCATTTCAATACAACTGACGTTCCAAAAGTTTTCCGTCAAAACGCGTTTAAGTTTTTTACGGTTAGAATTCGAAAAACTTAAATGGCAGAAAAAAAAGTGGAAAATCGAATTTTTGCAATCCCATTCATTTTTAAGATTCGAAAAGTTCGAGGATTCGAATGTCCTAGACCAATTTTATATGCTTTATTTTTGAACTCGTTATATATTACTTGATGCCAAACACTCTTAACGCTCTTACGGGAATTCATGCCACAAAAATTTATTCTAAAGTTCTTGTATTTTCAAGCTTAAAGAAATTTTTATTTAGATTTATTTTGCATACGCAAGATATAAAAAGTGTACACTCAAGAAATTCATTTTGAAAGATATTAAAAAAGTATAAGTATGTACTCTGCAAATTTAAGCAAGTCATTTTGCGAGAAGTATGGTCAATATGATAATGTATAATCAAAATGTGAAAGCTCACATTCTTAGGTAAGGTTTTAGATCTTAGAGCTGTGACTCAGTTAAAAGCAGAATAGAGATTAAAAATTCCTCAGTACTGCAAAATCGTGAAGGCAGAGCTATACGATTACGCAAATCAGTCAAATAGGATACATAATTAAAGTAATACAAGCATACAATAATGAATAGAATACATACAATAATGAACAGAAAATACGCTAGTTAGAGACATTACGTTTGTCATCTTGGCATACACTGAGTAAGACATTCAATCACATCTGCGACGTATTCTGACCGCCTAACGGCAAAGATTTAAGATTCCGGTGTTTAGAAAAGTTACACTTACGAATGTTGATAGACACAAATTTCCATATTGTTAGATCTAGTTATAAAAATACAATTAGAATTTAAATTTCAGCTAACGATCATTTCAGTCCCTAGTTCACGTTCTGGACTCCTTTTATATAGCAGGATTTCACCTTCAAAGTGCATTTATTGTATGCTTTACTAGAATTTCGTAATCCTTTTTGATTGCAGTAGAACTGCTAGCCAAGAATTAAACGTTAGTAATCGACAAGAGAACTTTAATGCATCTGCATCAGGTGTTAAATGTAACTGCATATTAAATGTAACTAGAAAAAAATGAAAGAACATGACTTTCATAAAATTTATGTTTCTACGTAAGTCTAAAATTAAGAACATATTTTTCAGTTATTAATTTAATACAAAAAAGATATTTCAGAATTAAAATTGATGAGTTGTGAAGCAGATACATACCTAAAACTTGAAGTGAAACAATTTTACTAAGACCAGCTCCTATACCATTGTTTGCTTGACAAAGGTAGGCACCAGCATCATTTTCTTCCGCATCAGATAATACTAGTGTCCCATTATTGTATCGATGAGCTCTGGGACTGGAATGCACATATGTAAAATCTCCAGCGGTATTTTCTGTAATGGTAGAGGTAAAAACACTAGTTGTAAAGAAACAGGTTTGGAGCTGCTACAAAATTTAATATAAGGAGAAATACGCCTGAATTGATTATCAGTATAAATAGCCTGGACACAGAACACAGGCTTCTGAAATAAAACGTTTTTTACAATTTTAGTCTATATAATAGTTGACAGTTTGATGTTTTCAAATATTGAGCAGCAGCTGTTTTAAGAAACATAAATGAAGAGAAAGCATTACATTAAAATTTCTATGACATGTAATTATAATTTTAGCTCATTCAAAAAATAACAGTTTCAAAACAACTACGTAACTGTATGAAAGCATACGTTGTATAGTATAGAGAGAGAAAGAAGGAATGTATAATAAGACCCTTAAATACCTAAAAAGACGATAAAAAGCTATAACTGTAAACGTTGCGCTTACCTATGGTAAACAGACTACGCCTTATCGTATAAAACCGGTATGGTAAAAAGCTATAACTATGAACTTTGTGCCTACCTATAGTAAATAGACTACGCTTTATCATATAAAATCGTTTGCAATGCTCCTAGCTATGAATATTAGAAGTTGGCGACCTTACCGCAAAAATCATGAGAAACGGCGAAACAGATCTAATATTATTAAACAATAGAGCGACCTATTTGGTATGAAATGGCTAAACAAATTACATGCAACATTAACGTAAACAGAAGCCCTGAAATGAAGATTCCACGATTTGCGATCCATCAACACATCACCAGTTATACATGTGACATTAAACGCAGACGCAAATCTACTTTTAGAACTAACACGTGTCAACAAGGACAATAACTATTACAGCGATCTTGCTGTTCATGCAGTAAGGCATTATAAAGAGCGAAAATATAAGAAGTATTACATAATTAAGTAATACTAAGATTTAATCATCAACGTGGGAACCTTAACACCTTGGGATACAAGCTGTACATATGATATTTCACGTAATTCCATAAAAATAAGAAATCCAGCGACTGAGGTCAGGTGACTATGATAACGACTCCACATTACATCCGCAACCTAAGATCCTATGCCCAAAATAGTCCTGTCGTAAATTGCCGTGATGAGCCGCACCCACACATAATGAAACCATGTAGAACGCATATAAACAAATTGCAAGTCATCTGGAAAAATCACGTAGTGCAGTTATGGTTATATAAGGACATAAGTCCTGTGAAGCGAGTACTTTAAATCCCGCCTCCTGAGATACTAGGGCACCTCAGATAACCTTTTGCTGTCACGTTTTCAAGTATCCAATAGTGCGAGTTTGTGTCTGTTTAACATCCCAATGTGATCAAACTTTGCTCATCCATCCACGTAATATCCGTCTTTACATTTGGTACGTTTATCACGAATTTGTACCAGTTCGACCGGTTGTAATAATCTCGTGACAGCAACCTTGGCATTAGTTTTGCAGTGCGTGGATGAGATCATAATTCTGCAACATTTCTCGTTCACGATAAAATGCAAGTCCACATATCACACTGATGCTTCTCGAACTGCAGCGTGGGTGAGCTTAATTCATAGATAATTATGTCTATTGGCTGTCCGTGCATTTCTGCAAATATTGATCTGCTGCCCCCAGACGGAAAAGTGGTTAGTGACACTGACTGCCTTTCCGAAAGGGCCGGGCTTGAATCCCGGAGAAAGCATGGATGTAATATGGCCGTGCCTTCCTAATAGGCAATGCTTGCCTATTAGGTGCCTCCATAATAATGAGACCACTGCTTCCGACCTTAGTAGTGACCAATCCCTATAAACGACAAGAGCTTGCCATTGGAACAAAAACAAGTGTTGGTCTTCTGGATCGGGGATGACTTATTATACTTCTTTTTTCTATAAGACAGGGAACGAGAATGGTGATAGCGACCGTAGTAGGATCAGAATGATAACATGAGGACTAAGCAGATATCATGAAATTTAGGCTGTTAGCTTCAGTGGCAGTGCATTCGTCAGCAGACGTAAGTAAGACGGTAACAAATATATTACTAAATGTATTACACACAATAATTGAAAATTTACAAACGATTTTTTTTATTGTTAGTTTCTATCAGAATGTTCAATTCAATTTCACATGTTTTTTTTCTCTGATACTTACCTCATCAGTCACTTATACACTCTGCCACGTGTGGTTATCATGTTATAATCTCTATCTATGATCTAATTCCGTCAGTCTCTGCAAAATCCATAAAACCTGTCTTTTCCGTCTTGAACAGAACAAGCAAATGATAGGATGAGCAAAAGATGCAAACAGGATTTTGTTGATCTTTACAATATGGTAACTGGTAGTTTGGCGACATTTTGGAGGCGATAAAGGTTACTACCTGGGACTTTGGTAATAATGTGAGCAGTACTCATTCCGATTACGCATTATTTTTGTGTGAGGGAATTAGAGATCTGAATATGTCATGTGATATTAATGGACGAATTACTGTTCTTTAATCGGAAAAGGGGGAAATCGGGAAAATCTGGATTTTGTATTTGTTTATTCTGTGTTGTGTGAACAGTGTTTCGTGAATTTTTGGATCCCATGCCGTAACTAAGAAAATTTATCGACACGTAATCAAGATTCTGAAAGATGGTAAGTTAGTATTTTAATTATTTGAGGATATTATTTTTAGCATTGTTCTAAATGTAAGGGAAGTAAAGGAATTTGGTATTATTGGGAAAATTGCTATTAGCAATGATTTAGTTTAAAGTAATTAGATTGTAAGGTAATTTTTATTAATTTAATGTATGTGTCATTTATATTTTAAGTAGTGTTTTTTGAATTAATTATATTAATTAAATGATAGTGATTTTGTGAATTTTATGTTTTTAGGAATTTGGTATAACGTTTCAGTTGAAGTAAACGTGCATGGGAAATAATTTAAATATCTGACACTAAGTATTTGTAATGGTTGCGGTATGAATTCGTTGGTGACGTTTTAATATAATAGATGATTTAGAGGTAAAAGTTTTTGGATATTTTTATTTATTTTATATGTGGAAATGTTCATATTTAGAAAGGGTAAATACTTTTTCGCGATCAGGTAATTTCATATATGTTCTTTTTAACCGGGTTTAAAGATTGGAAAGTTTCATGTATTTCGTGAATTTTTTCTAATTTATGAGAAAAAAGCAGTGTACATGGATATAGTGAAGAGTGTGCGCAATGCCATTTTTTTGTGCAATTCTGGGATGTTTTTTTAAGTAAAATAAGTCGGCGTTGTACATGGTTTATTGTATGTGTTATTTTTGAAAAACGCGTAAGGAGTATGGTATTGTGCACTTTTTCCCAATTTTGCAGTGAATATTTGTCATGATTAAGCAGTTTTGTTAGATAAAATTTCTAGCATAAGTGTAATTCGGCTAATAGATTGTTGGAAGAAGTGTTCAGTAGATAAAAAGAAAAGAAACGTCTTTACTTCGTGAAGACAAAATGGCGGCGGGAAAAAAAAATAGAGGGTTGCTGTAGGAGAGTTGGTCGCCAAATTTTCGCCAAAAAACGCCAAGTAACCATAATGTAAAGATCAACCCAGGAATTTTTACTTCTTAGTCATTCACAATCATGTTTTTAACTTGCAAGACTCTAGGAATAATACTTGATTTTATGTTTAAATAAAGACGCATTCCATGGAAATTCTGGAAACAAATTCATTACTATGCCTGGTATTACTTATTTTCAGACCATAAGACGAAACAAAATTTTTAAGTCAATTTTTTAATTAAAATGATTTATACTGCGAAAACGCTGAACTGATGTAAATAATATAACACAGTTACTATTATAGTAACTAATCAACTAAATATAAGGCATAATATATAAGGTATTTTCTGTCTCTTTTCTGCATGCCTTCATGGTGTGACTGGAAGCACACTCGAAGCATATTCGACAGGTCTGGAGTTCGAATCTCTGCTAGGACCATGCGGCTTTCTTCAATTTCCTGGTATCGGAAGAATTCTGATTGACTCTACAGTGGCGTCTGAACTGAAAGGTGGCGGACAGTAATTGATCATCACTAAGATTTGGCCACTGGATTCCATAATCTCCAGTCGCCCTTTTAAAAGCAGGAATATGTAAGGTGTTTTACTCTCCTTCCCAAATGCCTTCGTGGTGTAACTTGAAGCATATTCAGTGCATATTCGGGAGGTCCGGAGTCCAAATCTCGTCGAGGGCACTACATATTTTTCACGTCTTCATCATCAAAAACCTTAATGACTCTGTAAGAGACGTCAGAACTAAAAAGGCGGTGAAAGGATTTGGCGATTGGGTCCCTTTATCTCCAGTCGCCGTTTAAAAAGGAGGAGTATATAAGGTATTTTCTCCCGCCTTTTCGTATATCTTCGGGGTGTATCTAAAAGCATACTCGACAGGTCCAAGGTTCGAGGCCCGACGAGGGCATTGCACATTTTTCACATCTCCTATTTCAAAAACCTAGTGACTCTACAACTGTAGAATAAAACGGAAGAATTATCAGTTCGGGATTTTGATATGAATACTATCTGAATATTCACACCTAAATTTCAATTTAAAGATAAATAAGAAAATCAAAATCTGCATTTGTACATAAAACTAAATTATCCATTACTTTTCTCAACAGATATGTAATTTTTCAGTTATGATGCACTATTAAACGCACTTTTATCCAAAGCAATTTAGTAAAAATCATTATATATTTCTTTAAAAAAATATGACTAAACAAACCTCTTGTTACAAATTGTGAAACATATGTTGCTAACAAGAAGGGAAACTTAAATATTAGAAGCTTTTCCTTTATCGATTGCATCGCTCAATGTTTCGTTTACTGCATTTCCTGGGAACAAAAAGTAAACAGGAAACAAAAAATTATCTGAAAACTGTAGAATGTTCAGTAGCTTTAAAATTTTTTTTAATAAATACAACGCATGATGAGGTTGTGTTTGCCTTCAAAACTTCCAAAACTTCTTTATTAATATAGAAAATATTTCCCTTTCTCTATGAGTAAGCACTAAAAAAAAA